ACATCCATACATTAAGTAAGTTAACCTAAAGAAAAAATTTCACTGTTGAAAGCCCCTGGACAAGGAAGGTAGCCAGAATATATGACTTGTTCACTTCCACTTAGGAAATCTGGAACCCTAAGCACCCCAAAATCTAAACCGTTTTTAGTGCCAGTGTAGCAGCACTAGTAGAAGGCTGTGTGCCTGACCTCATGGAACCAGTCAGACCAAACATGGAGGACTGAAAACGCTGTGTGGAATGTCTTTGGGGCTGTGAAAGGAGTGTGGGAAGCTTCTGTAAACCGGAATTTAGACTCTGCTCGTTTCCCAAGGCGTCCAATGTGTGCATGCGGCTGTTCCAAAACACACATGCCTCACGGGGTTCTCTCAGAGCCCCACATCTTGGGTAAGATGAGACTATATGCAGCCAGAGCTGTGTGAACAGAACAACTCAGAAGGGAACCAGTGTGCCTGTTGGGAGTGGGGCAGCTGGCTGGAGGAGGTTCAGTGACATCACGGTATGTTCCACACAGGGAGGGCAAGAGCCTGTGGAGGAATCGGCGATAAGGGCACAGCCTGTGTGAAGCCCTGGAGCAGGACTGATCCGTGTGGGAGGGCGAGCCAGGCCAGTGTGTGAGCCAACAGAGGCCCAGAGGGACAGGGCAGATGGGGGTGCCTCATGGGTTCTCACAATGCTGTGGCTACTGCTGTCGGTAGGACAGTGCCTCGGGTCCGAGCGTGGGAAGGGCAGAAGCGCCTGGTCCTAGGCGGGTCCTCGACTGCTGGGAAGAACCACTGTAGGGGCCCTTGGTGGGGGCGGGATTATAAACATGATGGCTGTGGCAGGCTACAGTACAGGTGACGGTGGCTTTTCTTTCTTCCATCTGTCTCCCAACCTGTCCAACTTCAGCTCTTCTTCCTTCTCCACTGCAGGGGCTGAGCTGGCTGCCGTCAGCAGACGAGCCCTCATCACTAGCAGTTCTAATATGGAGACACATCTGTGGCTAATGCCGCATGGAATGGGGAAAACACAAGATATAAAACCCAAAGAGGCTGTGTGACCCTAGGGACACAGGAGTTAGAGAGATACTGCAGAGGGGAGAGGCCAGATGGAGGCCGGGCTGACTTAAGGTGGGGATGAGGAGGGAGTGGGAGGGCTCTTGGAGTCTCAGAGTTCCACACTCTGGCTGGTGAAGTCCTGGTGTACCCAGGGCTGAAGGCACAGGCAAGGGAAGGGATGCAAGCACTCTGGGACTTTCATTGTCTGTCCTTCATTCAGTCATTCCTTCTTTTGTTCATTTGATTATTCATTCACTCATTCTTCTATTCATTCTCATATTTATTTCTGCTTTGATTCATTTTCTCACCCATTCATTCTTTCATCCTCTCATTCATATATTCGGCCTTCCATTCTCCTTCATTCATTTATCACCCATTTTCTCTCTCACTCATTCATTTGCTCACTTGTGACTTGAGTGCCAGCAGCCTTGAGCCCTTGCTGCTTGGCCTCTCAGGATGTGAGCTGCATTCAGAGATTTTTTTTTTTTTAACTGGTGGAGCAGGGGCCCATGTAATATTAACTTTTATTTGCCTGATTTAATTGTTGTCTCCAAGGCTAACTGCCTCCATCTGCTAACCTAGGCCTAGTTCTGGAACCTTTTAGCCTCCGTACAATCTTATCTAGGCCTAGAATGTTTTTAGCCTCTGAGACTTACTGCTGAATAACCCCACTCTTTCTCGTTCTTTCTGAACTCTGGCTGGCCGGTTCAACCCAGCTGTTCTAGCTCAAACTCCTCTCCAAGCTGACCGATTTAATCTGACTTCTCCCGGTTTCTCACTGCATAGCTCTGCTCAGCCCCAAACTAATTCTCGAAATCTGTTCTAATCTCCTGGCTCCTTCTCATCCTCTAGCTCATTCTGTCTTCACCTGTGTCTGGCTTGTTCTCTCTTCGACCTCTCTCTGTAAAACTCTCCTGATACAATCTGCCTCTGAACTCCACAAACTGAACTACCATGACCTCAGCTCCACTGCACTGCCTCTCAATGCCCCGAGCCAACGAACTGACTGAACAGAACTAACTCAGAGATCTGCATGTCTCCGTCTCCTGAGTGCTGGGATTACAGCCGCGTGCCACCATGCCTGGACCTAAGCTTTTCTTTACCTAAAACTTGCTCTATAGCAGGCTGGCCTTGAATTTAAAGATCTGCTTGTCTCTGTCTCCTGGACTAAAGGCGTGTCTGTATTCCAGCCTGATCTAGGTCTTTGGATGTGATCTTTTGCCAGAGCAGCCACGTTCTGAGTTCCCATTCCTCTATAGGCCCGGTGCCCACATTCACTTACCTACTCATCTACGGACTGTTTCAGGGTGCCTAAGGGCATGATATCCTTCCCTGAAAGGTGACTCAGTTTCCCTCTCCTGTAATGGGAAAGAAATAGTTCTCTCAAGGAGCTGCTGAGATCAAAGAGTAAATCATACCTGAGGCTACTGAGTATCTCTCAAGAGCCCAGTACTTAAGATTCACAAACCCTTATAATCCTCAGTAAGACTGAAGGCTTGAAGCAGTGCCTCTTGCTGTGTGCTTGTGACACCTGAGGAAACTGAGGCTCAAATAGGCAAGGCAGGTTAGGCTTTGCCCTGGGCAGGCACCCATCAGCTAATCTGCCCGGTAACTGTCAACTTCATTGCTCCCGCCTGCTGAGCCAGATCTTCCTGGTCACTGCTGATATCACGAAGTCTACCCGCAGTCTCAGCCTATGGAAAAGTGATAAGACTACTGAACAAATGAAGTATCTAAGGGATTTACAACTTACTGAGGGCAGGTTGCACCGGAGTGCTGGTCCCTGCTGTGTGAAATGGTTGTTTTTTAGCTAGCTCAAGGTGATGGGATGTGAGCTTCAAACCAGGCCCCACACTTACCCCTCACAGTCCTCCTGCAGTCCTTCCTCGTGAAAATTTAACCAACTTCAATATGACACGTTCACGTGAGACAGAGTCCGTAGCACTAAGTGTGACGAGGGGGAAGCTGTTAGCCCATGCGTAAGCCAGACACCCCAGGCTCAGAGAGCTGCCCACAGTGTGACTCACGCATGCTTTATCCTCCGTGTTTCTGAGTTTCACCTGTGTGTTCAGAACCAGACTCTCATCATCAACACCATCATTGTTGTTGCTGTTGGGATGGAGCCCAGGGCCTAGTGACATGCCACAGCCGTGCCCTCCCCTCGCTGGTAGATTCTAGGCAACCAAAACCCCAGCCCCTCACTAGGGGATTTTACATTTCAAAGTTCCTACTTTCTTTCTTTTAGAGATATATTTTATTGGTATGTGTGTGTGTGTGTGTGTGTGTGTGTGTGTGTGTGTGTGTCTGTCTGTCTGTATGTATGTATGTATGTATGTATGTATGGGTGCTCATAAATGCTAGTAGAGAGCACCAGATTCCCTGAAACTGAAGGCATTTGTGAGCTACGTCATGCAGGTCCTAGATCCGAACTTGGGTCCTCTAAAATAACTGAGCCATCTCTCCAGCCCCTGCTCTTTGGGGGTGGGAGTTGAGACAGGGTTTCTCTGTGTGGCCCTGGCTGTCCTGGAACTCTCTCTGTAGGCCAACCAGGCTGGTCTCAAACTCAGAGAGCCACCTGCCTCTGCCTCCTGAGTGCTGGGATTAAAGGTGCGTGTTGCCGTCTCCTGGCGTCTCCTTTCTCTTTGAGCCTGGGTCTCTGTGTACTTTTGAACTTGGCCTTTAGATTTCAGTCCTCCTGCCTCTACCTCCTGAGTCTTGGGAATGGCTTGGTCCACTGGTCTCCCTCAAAGTGAGGTGTTCTAAGAATAGTTGGTGACATCTGCAGTTCTGCCCACCCTAGCCTCCCTGGGTCTCCTGTTCCTTCCATACTGAGAAGGACAGAGATGGGGGAGTGGATCAGCCAGGGCCACATGCAGAGGGCTTTAGTGGGGCACTGATGGTTCCTACACAGTGGTGGAGTGTGGGGCTTGCTTCCTGAGAAAAGGCGACATGCATCCAGGGACAGAAGCCAGGACACTGTATCCATGTCTGAGGATACTCAGTCCTGCCAGCAGAAGGTGCAACGCAGATGTTGCTGCCAGAACAGCAGATGTAGCTGTTCTTAGGAGCTGTTAGTGGGAGCTTGTTCTTCAGAGTGAGGCAGTATGCTGTGGTTTCTTTTTTCCCTCAAAACATGAATCCAAGGGTCGTAGCTCGGTGGCAAGACAATGGGCTAATGTGCCAGCACTAAAGGCTCAACTTCACTAAAAAATTATTACACAAAACATCTGTCCTAGATGAGCCTGGTGTCCCAGATCTGTCATCCTAGTTCTTAGGAGATTGAGACACAAGAATCAAAACCAGCCGGAAGAACTAAGCGAGACCCTGTCTTAACACCCTAAAAGAGGTTTGTGGGCGTGGCTCCGTGGTAGAGCGCCTGCCTAGAATCCCCCTGCGCGGTGCTGGTAGGACAGTTCCTGAACCGTTCTGGAAGCCCTAGGTTCAGTCTTCTCTTTGGAAACCCGGTTTCGTGGCTGCGTAAGCGCGTCACGGCTTTAGGAAAAGCAGCCGGATCGTTTTAGCTTCTCGGTGAGTCACTGCGGGTTTTCACGTGGGCTCTGCAGCGTGCGGCGTGGGCGGGGCACCTGCCACCTTTGGCTTGAGTTCCTCTTTCGCAAAACAGCCTGGTGATGCGGTGTCGCCCTCCAGGGTTGGGATGCGGAATAAACATCCCAATAGGGAGGGTACTTGAGCTTCACTCTGTAGCCATGAAGTACCCAGCCTCCTGCCAGCTGCGTGGCTCTGGGCAGTCACTCCCGCCCTCTGTGCCCAGCTTCCTATACCCAGAATATGAAGATAATAAACATGACATCATGGGATTGTTGTGGCGACGCTGAAGCCGACCCACTTTTCAGATGGACACACGCAGAAGGACACGCCACGGCAGGGTGCCAGCAGAAGAGCCCTGAGACTTGCTGCCACCTCCTTGCTCTTCCTTACATGGGTCCTCCCCCCTCTTACAGCCAGAAGCTGTCGGGTGAATACTTCAGGTACAAAGGCATTCTCTTCCCAGTCGGCATGTACTCACCCGAGAGCCTCAGCCTGGCCGAGAACACTGACAACGTTCGGGATGAGGACATCTTCATTGTCACCTACCCCAAATCAGGTATGTGTGGTGCCAGCCTGGGCTCAGGGGAGGACAGGAGGGGGAAGGGGGAGCCTGCTCCGAGTATCTGAAACTCACACCTTCCTTTGAACGGTCCCCTAAGTCCCTGCTCCAGGTAGACTCGGGAAGCCTGGCTAACATTCCGCTCCCCTTGCCCCAGCCACAGATGCCAGTATCCGCAGACCTCCCCTGTCCCTTCCGCCCTGGCAGCCTTCAGTGGCACCAGCCACTGTGTGATTTGGTGGGTACTTTCTTTCCATGTAGCTCGGGCTGGCTTTGAACCCCCAGTCCTCCTGCCTCAGAGTCTCAGGTTCTGGGATGGCAGGTGTGTGCCACCAGGCACAGCACCGCTGATTAAATCTCTGCTTCCTCGCTGGAAGGCTTATCTGGGTTTCCCCTGGGAGCTTTGTCTGCCTTGGCCAGTGTATTCTCTGAGCCCAGACCCCTGCCTGCTGCTGTTTGTGGAGGAAGTTTCTCCTCTCCATTGCATCTGGACTCACATGCACAATGTGGCTCAGCTGGCACAGATAAGGAAAGCCTGTTCTGCCATTCTTTTCGTTGCTGTGAAAAAACACCCAGACCAACAGCAACCTGGAAAGAAAGGGCCTGTGTGGCTTACATTCCCAGGCCACCATCCACCATGCAGGGAAGTCTGGCCAGGAATTGAAGCAGAAATCAGACAGGACGCTGCTGACTGGCTTGCTCCCCATGGCTTTCTCAGCTAACTCTTTATAAAACCCAGATCCAGGACTGAAGAGATGGCTCAGAGATTAAGAGCACTGGCTATTCTGCCAAAGGTCCTGAGTTCAATTCCCAGCAACCACATGGTGGCTCACAACCATCTATAGTGAGATCTTGTGCCCTCTTCTGGCGTGCAGGTGTACAAGCAGAATACTGCATAAGTAATACATAAAATAAATCTTCAAACAAACAAAACCCAAAAAACAAAAACCCTAACCTCCTGTTCAGTTCAGTGTCCTGGGCCCTTCTATAGCAATCAAGAATATGCCTGTGGGGGCTGGAGAGATGGCTCAGAGGTTAAGAGCACTGGATGCTCTTCTAGAGATCCTGAGTTCAATTCCCAGCAACCACATGGTGGCTCACAGCCATCTATAATGAGATCTGGTGCCCTCTTCTGGCATCCAGGTGTACATGCAGACAGAACACTGCATACATAATAAAGAAAATTATTTAAAAAAAAACTGTGGTGGCATATGCCTTTAATCTAAGCACTAAGGAGGTAGGGCATGTGAGTTTGAGGTCAGCCTGGTCTATGTAGCAAATTCCAGGCTGGCCAGGGCTACAGATCTATGACAGACGAGCTGCATTAAGTGAGAGATGAGGGCATCTGTGTAATAATTACAGTTTGTTTGGAGAAAGAACAAGCATTGGGGGTTGATGACTGTCGCAATTTAAATGTTTCCAAATAGAACTCAAAACGGTTAGGTAGGTGAGGTCTGCATTGCACAGAGAGGGCAAACTCACCGGAAAAGGGCTTCCGGTGAGGGAGTAACCCCACCCTCTGCAGGGAAATGAACGCCAGGCAGCTGTGAATTGGGGAGCGGGACTTCTCCGCTCCTGTCTACAGGTTCAGGTGCCCCAGAAGCGGTGAGGCCTCCTGGTGCAGGATTCTTGTCTTTGTGTGTTCCTCTGCCAAGCTCATGCTGGGATGACACGCTCCAGACAAGTGTGCTCCTCTGGCGCCCTCTGTTGGTGGTTGAGACCTGAGAACGCCAGCTAGGGAGAACCTTCTGCCCAGGAGCCACAGGGCAGCCTTGGACTCCTGCTCAGGGACAGGGCTCCTTGCTCAAACATGGCATTCACATAAGAGATGAGCTGGGCCTGGTGGCAGAGGCCTGCTGTCTTTGCTAGGCCAGAGTCAGGAAGGAGAACACCAGGGCTATTGTGGACAGTTTAATGTGATCTTAATGTGTTTCATGACAAAACATAAAAAGAAACAAGCTATAGCTCAGCAGTAGAGCCCCTGCCTAGAAGCCCCCAGTGAGGGGCTGGGGTGTGGCTCAGTCATTGAGCCCCTGCCTAGCATTTCTGAAATCCCCAACTCAATCCCTCTTACCACAGACAAACAAACAGAAAAACAAACAAAAGACAAAACAAAACAAACAAAAAAAGCACAAAAATATTTGGCCAGGTGTAGTGGCTTTAATCCAGCACCCAGGAGGCAGAGGCAGGTAGACATCTGTGAACTTGGGGCCAGCTCAGTTTGCATAGTGAATCCCAGGACAGCCGAACTATGTAGTAAGACCCTGTCTCAAAAACAACAACAAAAACAATTCATCAATTAAGGGCGATGAAGTGTCTCAGCAGGTAAATGCACTTGCGGTCAGGGATGACAACTTGAATGTGAGAACCCACACGCCTGTAATCCCAGCACTTGGGCGGAGAGGTGGACAGACCTCTGAGTTTGAGGCCAGTGAGTCCAGGACAGCCAGGGCTACACAGAGAAACCTCTCAAGAAACAAAAGAACAATCAAAGACAGCCATCTGCATGCAGCTACACTACAGCACTTTCTGGGGCTCTGGGACTGGATGAGGGGCTCTGTGACTGGATGAGGGGCCCTGTGACTGGATGAGGGGCTCTGTGACTGGATAATGGGCCCTGTGACTGAATGAGGGGCTCCCACTTTGTCCTCTCTGGGGCTCTGTGACTGGATGAGGGGCCCTGTGACTAGATGAGGGGCCCTGTGACTGGATGAGGGGCTACCACCTTGTCCTCTCTGGGGCTCTGTGACTGGATGAGGGGCCCTGTGACTGGATGAGGGGCTCCCGCCTTGTCCTCTCTGGGGCTCTGTGACTGGATGAGGGGCCCTGTGACTGGATGAGGGGCCCTGTGACTGGATGAGGGGCTACCGCCTTGTCCTTGAGCTGAAGTCTGTCATGCAGAGGAAGCAGAAGGGATTGTACACAGCGGATACCACCCTGTCCACACCGAACACACCCAGGGTCTCCAGGAGCAGCCAACACTAGGGCAGAGCCAGAGCTCTCCTAGGGCTGGAGTTACAGGTGGCTACTTTCATCTTATGCATGCGTGTTTCACGCACATGTGTCTGTGCATTATATGGCCAGAAAAGAGCCTGAACACACCCCCTTGTCACAGCTTGTGTGTGTGTGTACCACAGCAGAGGTGGAGGTCAGAGGACAACTTGGTGGAAGCTGCCTTTTCTTCGTTTTATAAATACTGACTTAAGGGGATGAAGAGATGGTTCAGTGGTTACAAGCACATTTTGCTCTTCCAGAGGACCCAGTTCCCGTCCCCAGCACCCACATGGCAGCAGCTTACACCACCTGTAACTCCAGCTCCAGGGGATCCCCTCCTCTCAGTGGCCTTGGCAGACTCCCTCATGCATGTGCACAGATCTACGTACGGAAAGATAGGAATATATAATTAAAAATAGAAATATTTTAAAATGTAATTTTAAAAATTTTATGTGGACAGATGTTTCACATGCATTTTGTCTGTGCATCAATGAGTGTTTCACATGCATTTTGTCTGTGCATCAATGAGTGTTTCACATGCATTTTGTCTGTGCACCGTGTGCATGCATTGCCCACAGAGACCAGAAAAGGGCTTCACCTCCCCTGAAATGGAGTTACAGGTGGTTGTGAGTTGCCATGCAGGGAATTGAACCTGGGTCCTCTACATGAGCAGCCAGTTCCCTCATGCACTGAGCCATCTCTCCAGCCCCTGTATCTCCGCCACTGTTCTGTTGCTGTGAGGAGACACCATGAAGAGAAAGCATCAAATGGGGTTTAGTCTGTTATCCTCCTCGTAGCAGGGAACATGGTGATGGCAGCTTTGGCAGCTGAGAGTCCTGCATGCCGACCCTCAGGTGGCAGGGAGACAGAGTACCTGTGGGCCTGGCTTGGGCCCGTGGACCTTCGAAGCTCAGCCCTGGTGACTCACCTCTACTCCTAGCTCACCTTCCTGTTCTCCTGGTAGGTACCAACTGGATGATTGAGATCCTCTGCTTAATCCTGAAAGATGGGGATCCCTCATGGATCCGCTCTGAGCCCATCTGGCAACGTGCGCCCTGGTGCGAGACGGTCATCAGTGCCTTCAGCCTGCTGGAGCGGCCCAGCCCCCGCCTCATGAGCTCGCACCTCCCTGTCCAGCTCTTCACGAAGGCCTTCTTCCGCTCCAACGCCAAGGTGAGTCGGCTAGGCCAGGTGTAAGTATGACTAAGTAGCTGCGTGGTGAATGCACGCTTGAACATGTGGCTCTTTTAAAGGGGAGGGGCTCTAGGCTGCGTGTGCTCGTGTGTGGCTGTCATTTCAGTACTGCAGAGCTGACACGGGAGAGTGTTGGGATTTCCAGGTCATCCTAAGCTACAGAATAAGACCCTGTCAAAAAACAAAAACAAAAACAAAACAAAAAAAAAAAAAAAACCAAGCAAGCCAACACAAAAGGCCAGGCGATGGTGGTGCACGCCTTTAATCCCAGAGCTTGGGGGGAGGGCGGGCAGAGGCAGACAGGTCTACAGAGGCCAGCCTGGTCTACAGAGTGAGTTCCGGGACAGCAGGGCTACACAGAGAAATCCTCCCTTCTCAAAACACACAAAAGCAAAACAAAACAAAATCAAACCTGACAGAGGTGCTCAGGAAGCAAGCAGGTAGGAAGGCAGAGCAGTAGCCTGGCATGCAAAGCCAGGGCTATGTCCCCAGTGCCACATAAACTAGGCATGGTAATACACACTTGTTTTGTCTTGTTTAGCCCTGGCTGTCCTGGAACTTGATCTGTAGACCAGGCTAGCCTAGAACTCACAGAGATCCTCCTGCCTCTGCCTCCCAAATGCTGAGGTCAGCCCAGCTGACTAAATACTTGTAATCAGAGTACTCAGGAAGTAGAAGCAGGGAAGACCATCCTTGGCTAAACAGCAAGTTCAAGACCAGCCTGGAAACAAAACAAAAGCAGGGTGGTCCAAGCAGATCTCAGGAAGAGTTATCAGCAGCTGGGTAGAGGGGAGAGAGATGCAAAAGCCCTGGGGTGAGTGAGGTGAGTCTGTGGTGCAAAGGAGATCCTTGTGGCTAAAGCCCCATAAGCCAAAGGAAGAGGGGTAGGCACAAGGTCAGAGACAGCGACAAGTCGAGAGCTGTGGAGCCTCCTGATGGGAGGGCTTGCGAAGAGCAAGGCAGACTGCCTGGGGGGCTGGGTCCTACTGTACCTGACACCTTCTCCCCTCCCCACTGTCCACAGGTCATTTACTTGGGCCGTAACCCCCGGGATATCGTGGTCTCCCTCTATCACTACTCTAAGATTGCAGGGCAACTGAAAGACCCTGGTACACCTGACCAGTTCCTTCAGGATTTCCTCAAAGGAGAAGGTGAGGCCTGGAAGAGGAGAGTCAGGAGGGAGACACAAAAGGAGAGACAGAGATGGGGAGAGAGGCAGGCTAGCAGAGACAGACACAGCAACCAGGAGAGAGACAGACAGACGGAGAGGCAGAGAGCAGAGATATGGTCCCTTCTCTGCTTGTCAGAGGGATGGATCGTGGCAGGGAGTAGACCACACAGACAGGAGCTGGCTAGGGTGGGGAGGGTCTCTGGCGCTGGCAGAAGGTGCCAGCCAGCCAGCACGGGGTGGCTTCTGCACGCTGGTCCTGAGCGCCATGCGCCCCTCACACGCCTTCCACTGCATGCAGTGCAGTTTGGCTCCTGGTTTGACCACATCAAAGGCTGGATCCGGATGCGGAATCGGGAGAACTTTCTGTTCATCACCTACGAGGAGCTGCAGCAGGTCGGTGTGGTGTCTTCCCGTGGCCCTCCTCCTGCACTGGTAGGAAGCTGGCTACCAGTTCATGTACTGGGAAAACAAGGCTTATGGAGGCCTGGGGGTGGGAAGTGGGTGACCAATCAAGTCAAGATTAGACGGGATGGTCACATAGACACCAGAGGAAAAGCAAGCAGTCAGTGCAAAGGCCCTGAGAAAGAGCTTCCTCCTCTCCCTCCTCCTCCTCTTCTTCCTCCTCTTCCTTCTCTTCCTCCCCTCTTCTCCCACCTCCCTCCCTCCTTTTCACCATCACTTTCTCTGAGTCTCATGTACCCCAAGTACCTGAGGGTGATTGAACTTCTAATTCTCCTGTTTCTGACTCCTGAGATTAAAGGAGTTTGCCCACCACTGGTTTATGCAGAGCTTGGGATCAAACCCAGGCCTTTGTGCATGCTAAGCCAGCTCTCAGTGTGTTCCCAGCCCCAGGTGTATAGTCCTGGCTGGCCCCATTCCTGACACAGCCTCTCCAAGTGCTGCTATTATAGGCACATTCCACAGCTGTCACCCGTTTCAGGTCTGGGGGCCTGAACCCACAGCCTTGTGCACATTAGGCTAGTGCTCTACAAATGAGCCCCAACCCCAGGTCCTCAATGGGAGAGTCCAGGCAAGAGTCCTGCGGCCTTGGCCTTCACTTGTTTGTTACTTATTTGGTTTTGTTATTGTTTTTTGTTTGTTTGTTTGTTTCTGAGACAGGGTTTCTCTGTATAGCTTTGGCTGTCCTAGACTCACTGAGGTTGGCCTTGAACTCACAGAAATCCACCTGCCTTTGCCTGCAGAGAGCTGGGATTAAAGGCCTGCACCACCATGCTTGCCTACTTTTTTTTTTTTTTTTTCTCGACACAGGGTTTCTCTGTGTAGCCTTGGCTGTCTGGGGCTTGCTTCGTAGACCAGCCTGGCCTTGAACTCACTGCCTCTGCCTCCCTGAGTGCTGGGATTACAGGTGTGTGCCACCTCTCCCACTTCATTTTTTTTTTTTTAAGATAGGGTCTCACAGGGGCTGGAGAGATGGCTCAGAGGTTGAGAGCACTGTCTGCTCTTCCAAAGGTCCTGAGTTCAATTCCCAGCAACCGCATGGTGGCTCACAACCACCTATGATGACATCTGGTGCCCTCTTCTGGCTTGCAGGCACAATACAGATAAAACATTGTATACATAATAAAAATTAGTTGAAAAAAAAAAGATAGTGTCTCACTAAGTTTCCTAGCTGGCAGAGAACTTTCACTTCTTCAGTCTCCAGAGTGACTGTGATAACAGGCTTGTGTCACCAGGTTAGGGTGGTGCACTTTGGAGATGCTTTTTGTAGTCTTAGAATTAAAAGCTAGTCCACAAAGCGCACAGAGACCCCCCCCCCACACACACACACACACACACACACCGAACCTGTGAAGGTCCCTGAGCACAGCTGGGGAGTGTGCCTGGCCCTGGTGCCCTGTGCGCACACCCAGACAGCCTTGTCTCCGTGTGTGGAGTGAGAAAGACTAGCTAGGGCTGAGATGAGCTTATCAGACTCCTTCCAAGGAGAGCCAATGCCTGCCACCTGCCGCCAGCCCCAGTGAGAGCCTGCTGCAGCTGTTCCAGGGGAGGGCGACACAGGGGAGGCAGAGGTGGCCAGATCTTGGCCAGTCTAGTCTACAGAGGGCGTTCCAGGACAGCCCGAGCTACATAGTGAGACCTTGCCTCAAAAACATTAATAATAATAATATAGTAATAGTAATAATAAATAGGAAGGCTGGAGAGATGGCTCAGTAGTTAAGAGCACTGGCTACTGTGACAGAGGACTGGATTTGTTTCCTAGCACTCACATGGCAGCTCACAGTTGGCTGTAACTCTAGTTCTAAGGGATTTCATGGCCTCCTCTGGCCTCTGTGGGCCACAATGGTACATACATACCTGCAGGTAAAATGCTCTTACACATAATTTTTTAAAAAAGTTTAAAAGAGTTGGCAAATTGACTCAGAAGGGTAAAGTCACTTGCTAGAAAGCCTGACAACCTGAGGTCAGTCCCCAGTGTGGAAGGAGAGAGCTTGCTCCTGCCAGTTGTCCTCTGACCTCCACATTCGCACATAAACAGAGCAAACCCACGAACGAATGTAATAAAGCATCTAAAAGCATCTTATACATAGTCATTTAAAAGAGCAATAGCTCACCCATGTTGAGTTGTAAAAACCACAACTTCTTAGGTTCTCCTTGTTTAGAGGAGAGAACGGGAGCTTTAGCACTCTAGAGTGGTTGGTCACTTGCTAAGGCCTATAGCAATTCCTGCAGCCCCCGTATGGATTTCCTCTGATGGAAAGGTCTGGAAAAGGTTTTGATACCTTGTCTCCCTCCCTACACCCCAGCAGGTTTTATTCTCCAAACCGAAAACTGGGCCATGGAGCCAAGCACAGCTTCTGAGCCACTCCTGGGGTGTGCGGCACCACCCGTATGCGTGTTTCTGGGACAGGCCTGTGGCTCTGAGAATAAAAAGTTATGAAACCAGGAATGACCTGGAAAAACAGGCTGTGAGGCTATGTACTGACCAGCTCTTCAGGGTGCTGTCCGCCATAGCCAGCCGTGAGGTTGACAGCACCCCAGCAGCTTGGGGGCCTGAGCCTGGGCTTCCCAGCTGTGCGCCTCTCAACAAGTAGCTTATCTCTCAACCTCTGTTTGCCAACTAGGGTGTGACGTTTCTTGCAAAGCTGACAGCAGGATCCGCACAAATATGAATGAGGGCTTGGATCACAGCTTGGAACTCCAGGGACTTGAGCCAAGTATCATGAGGAAGGTGGCAACTGAATTTATCAGTGGCAAAGGGCATGTCAAGAAATCTTGTGCCAAGACCTGGAGGGAGGAAAGCATGGTGTGAGAAGGAGAGGTTCACACCAAACTACTCTTTTTTTTTTTTTTTTTAATTTCATGCGCATTTGTGTTTTGCCTACATGTATATCTGTGGGTGTCAGATCTTGGAGTTACAGACGGTTGTGAGCTGCCATGTGGGTGCTGGGAATTAAACTCCAGTCCTCCGGAAGAGCAGTTGGTGCTCTCAGCTGCTGAGCCATCTTTCCAGCCCACCAACCCACTCTTAAAGCTAGGAAACTCTGCCTAGGCCTGCTGCATGTCCTCGGGAACCACTGCATCGAGCGAGCCAGAGAAGGGCTGGCAGAGTTGAGAGGGAAGGAGGCTGAAGGCAGGCAGGCTGGGAATGGGGCCGCAGATGTGAGGGTCAGTCTGCAGGGAGGGGTTAAGATCTGCGCTAGGATGGGGCATCGGGGACACAGAGCTGAGGACAGGAAGGACAGGATGATGACAGGTAGCTGGGCTGAGGCAGACTGGGAAGGCTAGGCCCCGAGACCACTGCTGGGGTTCAGAAGAGAGCAGAGCAGCCCCACTCAGAGCCTGTGCCTCTGACATACAGCGGGGTTCTCTGTAAGTTGCTGAGCTGACATCTGCCAACCTACACTCTCCCCCTCCTGCAGAACCCTCTAGAACCCTGGAGACAGGGAGGTCCAACATTTTGGCTTGGAGGAAGAAAAACTGAGGCAAAGAGTCAGGAACTGCCAGACGCAGTGGCACAGGCCTTGCGCTCAAGGAGGCAGAGGTGGGCAGATCCCCCCATGAGTTCGAGGCCAGCCTGGTCTACAAAGTCAGTCCAGGACAGCCAAGGCTACACAGAGAAACCCTGTCTCAAAAAAACAAAAAGTCAGGAACCCCTCCAGGCCACGCAAAGAGGTTCCCACTCCACTGACGGCTCGCTCCTCCTCCCACCCCAGGATTTGCGAGGCTCTGTGAAACACCTCTGTGAGTTCCTGGGCCGGCCACTGGGCGAAGAGGCCCTGAATTCTGTGGTGGCTCACTCAACTTTTGGTGCCATGAAGGCCAATGCCATGTCTAACTTCACTCTGCTGCCAGACAGCCTGCTGGACCACCGCCAGGGGACGTTCCTGCGCAAAGGTACCACTGTGTGTCACCAGCGGGGTTGGGGACACCTAGACCTGTCTTCACTGTGAGCAGGTGGTCTGGCGCTCCAGGTGACTGCCTGCTGGCCTGCCTCCATCTGGGCCTCTCTCTCTCATCCTGAGTTGGCCAAAGCTGGGCTCCGACAACGAGGCTGAAGTCCCAGTGCAGAATAATTGTGTGGTGGGGCTGGTGGGCGGTGAGGCTTGCCTATCCAACCAGCTGGAGCCGAGGTCTGCCTGGGCTGCTACAGACTCTTTCTGTAAACAAAGCTGGACAGCTACGACAAACCAGGAATCCCAGGCTGTCTGTACCGCCATGGGATTTCATGTTCTAAATTCCACATATTGGGAACGGGGTTACCTAGGTGTGTTGACCCCCTTCTGGGAGCCTCCTGACCTCATCAGAGGTGACAGGACACGAAGCTAAAATCCAACAGCTATTCGAAAGAGCCCTCTCCACACAGGCCAGGGGTGGGCCTCTAGCAGTCACAGTGACATGAGGGACCAGCCGTTGATTGCATGCTTGTGAGATACCTTGCTAAGACAGCTCACTGGCTGTGGGGACCTCAAGCTGGTCCATTCATGCACAGCCTCCAGGCTGCCTGGCTGGGCTGCTCTGCATCAAGTCACAAGAGTGCTGGAGGCCGTGTTGCATGTCTGAGGGATACAAGGGTGAGAGCCCTGTGCTGCCAGAGGCAGCTCCCAGAGGTGCAAAGGGGTCTTTGGGTGCTGGGGGGGGTGAGTCCTGGGAAAATATCTGGAAGGTTAGAGGTCAAAGGACAGGGCTAGCATGGGGTCACCTAAGTGTAAGGGAAAGAGGCCGTAAGCATGGGGCCTCTGGCCAGCTGACAGAGTGGGTTGGTCATGATGAGGGAGACTGAAGGTGCATCTTCACAAGGCTGAGGAGAGGAAGAGGACATCCCAGCAGCTCTCCAGCAGTCTCTCCCTCTGTCCCTTCCAGGCATCAGTGGTGACTGGAAGAACCACTTCACCGTGGCGCAGAGTGAGGCTTTCGACCACGTCTACCGGGAGCAAATGCGGGGCCAGCCGAGCTTCCCCTGGGACAAGTCCACAGAGGACACCGGCTCTGATGAGGAGCCTGACCCTGAGCCCAGCCCCAGCCCAGCCTCTAATGACCTGAGCCCAGGATCCTCAAAATAAACTTGTCACTCCAACCCCTCCTTCCTTTGTGCTGGGTTTTCAGGGGATGCCAGGCAAGCAGAGGGCCCAGCAGAGGCAGCACGCGGAGGTGCTGCAGAGGGCATCGGACTCACTTATCACCTGTGCACAAGAGGCAGAGGCAGGAGTACAGACGCACCTCCAGCCTGGGCCACCCAGGGACCACATCACACTACCAACAAAGCAAAACGCAAGCAGGCGGGCAGGCCAGCGCTGAGCAGGGGCTCAACAGGACGCCACCCTAGGGCCTGGACCCCTGGACCTGAGGGAGGAGAGTTGGGGAAAACCCTGGGTCTGAGGAAAGTGGGCAGGGTGCTGGGATCTGGAGGAGGGGACACAGACTCTGTGTCGTCAGAAGTTCAGTAGAGGGAAGCACCTCGAGGCCCTCCCTCAGTCCCCACAGAAAACTCCAGACACATTCCAGCGTCTCAGCGTCCCTAGAACTTTCCAGGCCTTTGTTTTTCAGATTTGCTCATCCCCCTCCACCTGCCCCCATCATTGACTCTCTTCTCCCAGTCCCCTCCATGAGTATGCAGGCTTCTCCTCTGTCCTGAAGTCCCCCCACTATCCCTTTACATAGTGCACGGCGGGGCAGCTGGGGCTGTCACTGCAGCACTCCTGTCTGGGGAAAACCTGCTGTACCCTGTACCCATGTCCCAGATGGTGACACTGAGCCCCTAGAGCAATTAAGACCCATCCCTTCCACTGCCCAGATCTGAGTCCAGAGGCCTCAGACACAGCCAGTGTCTGGTAAGGGCTCTGAGCTGACCCACGGCTGGCCAGCCACATCTGACCAGGGCTCCCATCAGCGTCGCCTCCCAGGGCCCAAGCCAGAGGCCCAGTCCAATGCGGCATTGTCTCCCAGCCTCCTTTGGGCTGGGGATTGGTAACGCGGGCGGCGGGCTGGAATCCGGGGTAGGGGGCCACTCCAAGGCTGTGACCAGGAATCCATCTCACCCCTGGGCCCGCCTCCAGTGCCCCGCTGCCTCATCAGGGCCCTGGCTGGAGTGTCCTTGGAGCCCCAGGACTTCTTGAGCTGTGAAGGGGAAAAAAATAAAGTGAATGGTTGCTGAGGCTCAGCTGGGGGGGACGAGGGTGCTAGCTCTGCGTGCACGAGGCCCTGGGTTTCCTCTTTAGCACCATACAAACCAGGCCTGATGAGCACACCTTAGTTGCAGCACTCAGGAGGTGGAGGTAGGAGGATCAGAAGTTCAAGACCAGCCTGGACCACATGAAACCCCATCTCAAAATTAGGAGGCAAGAGGCTGAGAGATGGCTCAAGGCTTGCTGTGCAATCATGAGGCCCTGTGTTTGGGTCCCCCAAAGCCAGGCCCATCAGTGGGAACCTGTAACCTTAATGCCGTAAAACAGAGACAAGTGAACCCTGAGGCTCCCTGGCAGCCAGTCTATCTGCAACAGCCAGCTCCAAGTACAGGGAGATGCATAGTCTTAAAAAACAAGGTGGCAGAGCTCCATCTGGCCTCAGCGGGCACACTGCGGCATACACAGCAACTCACACACACACATATACATACAGAAGAGGAGGAGGCGGTGGGGCGGAGATCTTGGGGCCCAAAGCCAAGGGAGAAGGGAGGAAAGGTGAGAGGTAGAGAAACTAAGGGAGAGGAAGACGGGAGGGGGAGGAGGGGATTTGGAGACGGAGTCATGGGAGTTAGAGATGGAGGAGGGAGGCTGTGGAGGAGAGGGGAGAAGATGGAGGAGAGGGGAGGAGAGGGGAGGAGATGGAGGAGAGGGGAGGAGATGGAGGAGAG